AACTATTTACAATACACTGCTAAGTTTAACTATTGTCCTTGTGTCGTCAACTATTTACAATACACTGCTAAGTTTAACTATTGTCCTTGTGTCGTCAACTATTTACAATACACTGCTAAGTTTAACTATTGTCCTTGTGTCGTCAACTATTTACAATACACTGTTAAGTTTAACTATTGTCCTTGTGTCGTCAACTATTTACAATACACTGCCAAGTTTAACTATTGTCCTTGTGTCGTCAACTATTTACAATACACTGCCAAGTTTAACTATTGTCCTTGTGTCGTCAACTATTTACAATACACTGCCAAGTTTAACTATTGTCCTTGTGTCGTCAACTATTTATAATACACTGTTAAGTTATATTCTACAGCAAAATTGTCCTACAGATCATAAGCCCCCCACCCCCCAGTATCTCAGCGATAACTCTGAAGGCTTATACCACTAAAATCAGGGTTTCGATAGCTGTAGTGGGCACAGCATAGACAGCCTATTGTGTAGCTTTGTATTTAACAACAAACAAATCCAGATCGACAAGACATTCTAATTAAACTAGTTTTTTTTTTCAACCGCTACTATTTTATTATCTGCTTCTATAAACTTACGTTCATTAACTCCATCTAATGGTTTTGGTTGTCCCGTTCTCTGAAGAATGATCTTTTTACGTTCTCCAGCTTTCCTCTCCTGCTCCTTTTTCAACTCCTCGGCGGCTTTCTTTCTCAACAGTTGCTATAGAAACAAGCAAGTTTTGAATCAAATCACTCTAGTGCATTAGTTCCTGTGTACGACAAAAAAAAAACTGTTAACAAAAATAGTGTTTACTAGCACAGCTGAGCAGAACCTTGTTTGATTTCGAAAAACCTAGTTACTTCACTAATTATCAACTCATTCTTCGTCCAACAATACAATATTCTGGACCGTTGTTTGGTTTTTAAGTTGTGTAATGTTATCGTTACTTCAACTTACCCTCAGTTTCTTCTTACGCTCTGGTGTCATGAAACCTTTCTTGCCCTTTTTGGCCTTAGCGGCCTCCTCCAGGCGCTTCCGCACATCAGCCTTCTTCCTTTCCTTCTCCTCCCTCTTCCTCTTCTCTTCCTACAATCAAGTTATCAAACATATTGACTTTTTTTTTGTTGGGAACTCAAAACTATCAATATACTTCCATTTTCTATAGAAAACTGTTTGAATAATTTAATAATAATAAAAAGACCATGATGACTTTGAATCTGGCCTGTTTCAGTCCAAACACGAGGATATGTATCAACATGGACATAAGGGCATATTTCAGTCCAGACACGAAGATATATATATCAACATGGACATAAGAACATGTTTCAGTCCAGACATGAGGATATATATATATATCAACATGGACATAAGGGCATGTTTCAGTCCAAACACGAAGATATATATATATCAACATGGACATAAGGGCATGTTTCAGTCCAGACACGAGGATATATATATCAACATGTACATAAGGGCATGTTTCAGTCCAGACACGAAGATATATATTAACATGGACATGTTGTGACTACATCATAGTTACAAACCATCTTGAATAATTTACAAATTGGATGATGTAGTTCCATTAACTGTAGATTGTTGTTACTACATCATAGTTACAAACCATCTTGAATGGTTTACAAATTGGATGATGTACTTCCATTAACTGTAGATTGTTGTGACTACATCATAGTTACAAACCATCTTGAATGGTTTACAAATTGGATGATGTACTTCCATTAACTGTAGATTGTTGTGACTACATCATAGTTACAAACCATCTTGAATGGTTTCCAAATTGGATGATGTACTTCTATTAATTCTTGATTGCAATAACTAAATCAAAACTATACTTTAAAGAAAATGATTTAATCCGTGAAAGATTTTTCGATTTGTCAGAATATAATATGCTAATAAACCATCATATAAATAGTATTTAATTCTCACAGAAGTTGATTTTATGGTGGTTGGTCCAAAATTATCAACATTTCCAAAATGTTTATGTAGACTTATACTTCCTACACCTTCTCCATCTAGTTTATTACCTATCTGTTGTCTTTAAAACTTCAGGAAGTGTCAGAGTATAAACGTCGTTGCCTCAAACAACCAACAGAAAATCCTTTAAAAAGGCCGTTTGTGGTCAGAAACTTGGGATAAGTTTTCTATATTTGTATTTTCAACTTCTGGATGATTCTGAATAAGTTAACTAACTTGATAATCCGAAAATACATAGGTACGTACCAAAGTCAATGTACTAAGATGTAATTTTGGATATGGCTCCAAATAAAACCGGGATCATAAACTTCACTAAACAACAAAATTACTTCAGTATTAATTAGTTTAATGATACTTTACTACAAATTTGTAATGATCTAAATGATATTTTACATTTTGATAAAACAAAATCCTAAAATATATCAAATGAAGATTAAATAATGTTTCATATAAATATCAAGTGACATCTACATGGGAAAGTGCAACCTAAAAACTTGCACAAATATTTTTTCTGGCAAACGATTTCTTACATATAATGCCATTTACATTTCTGAAGAACACAATAAAAACATAATATTTTCAGTTAAGTAAAAAGTGTACAAAAATCTAATTCTAATCAACTGCTTGTGTCGCTGATTTTAGATTTAGAAAGATTTTATAGTATTTTGTTTCCTAGTTTTATATAATAGTATCTTACTTCCTGGCTTTATATGATAGTATCTTACTTCCTGGTTTTATATGATAGTATGTTACTTCCTGGTTTTATATGATAGTATTTTACTTCCTGGTTTTATATGATAGTATGTTACTTCCTGGCTTTATATGATAGTATGTTACTTCCTGGCTTTATATGATAGTATGTTACTTCCTGGCTTTATATGATAGTATGTTACTTCCTGGTTTTATATGATAGTATGTTACTTCCTGGTTTTATATGATAGTATTTTACTTCCTGGTTTTATATGATAGTATTTTACTTCCTGGTTTTATATAGTATATGTACACCAAATTCTATAATGATACTTACTTTTGTTTAGAGCCACACGTCTATTTTAACTTACCCCGTCCAGTTATCAAGAAGATGAGCTAAAGAAGCAGAAGAAAAGATTTTATATACATCGTTCTCTTATGAAAGACACAAAAAGGTTATAAATATGTTTAAGAAAGAAGACGTTTATTTTCATTCTAAAATCATATTATTTAAAATCCCTTAAATGAACGATTGTCAATAACAAAATTATATGTACAAAGTCACTCATTGAATATATTTCTATTTTAATTAGTAGTAACGTATTAATATGTTGATCAAAAATTCAATGGAACATCTGATATATATAGGTACATTGTAACTTAAACTCTAAAGCTTCAGAAATTCACTTCACTTGTATAAAATGTAATGCCTACTTAATCTGTTAACTAAAGTCTTCATTACCTAGCTAAACTCTACATAACACATTTTGATACCTACCTAATTCATACACTAGCATTCTTAACATTTACCTAATCTGCACACTACAATTCTCAAAATCTTCCCATTCAGTACACTACAATTCTGAATAGCTACCAACCCTAGGTCCTTTAAATGTAGATAGAACACAGTCTATAGTACCCATACAACACAGTACCCCTACCTCATCTACACTTGACATAACACAGCCCTTAGTACCCATACAACACAGTACCTCCACCTCATCTATACTTGACATAACACAGTCTATAGTACCCATACAACACAGTACCTCCACCTCATCTATACTTGACATAACACAGTCTATAGTACCCATACAACACAGTACCCCTACCTCATCTATACTTGACATAACACAGTCTATAGTACCCATACAACACAATACCTCCACCTCATCTATACTTGACATAACACAGTGGTATAGATGAGGTGGAGGTACTGTGTTGTATGGGTACTAAGGACTGTGTTATGTCAAGTATAGATGAGGTGGAGGTATTGTGTTGTATGGGTACTAAGGACTGTGTTATGTCAAGTATAGATGAGGTGGAGGTACTGTGTTGTATGGGTACTATAGATTGAGTATGGTAGTTCTGAAGGTTGTAGTGTTCAGGTTAGGTAGACTATGGAAGGCTAGTTTAGTAGGTACTAAAGGTTGTAGTGTTCAGGTTAGGTAGACTATGGAGGCTAGTTTAGTAGGTCCCACTAAACTAGCCTCCATAGTCTACCTAACCTGAACATTACAACCTTCAGCACCTACTAAACTAGTCTCCATAGTCTACCTAACCTGAACATTACAACCTTCAGCACCTACTAAACTAGTCTCCATAGTCTACCTAACCTGAACATTACAACCTTCAGCACCTACTAAACTAGTCTCCATAGTCTACCTAACCTGAACATTAGAACCTTCAGCACCTACTTAAACCTGTAAACTACAGTTTTTGAGATGTATACCTTATGTGTAGAGTTGTCTTCAATACCTTGCTAATGAACAACTAACATATAATTCATACAATTTTAAGACTTATATTTTTACACATAATCTTTATAAACAATACTCTCGTTAATAGTAAATATTCTTTTTTTACACTTAAGTATAGTGCACATAACAGCGACAAACAGAAATAAGGTACTAATACAAATTTATATCCAAAATGTTAATAATAAGCTACATGCCATACAATGAAATTTAGTAAAAATTCACGACATGCGCTGACAAGGTAAAGAATTAATAGCATCACTTGAGATCGAGAAATAAGTTAAACATAAGTTGCTCCAGATTCTTCCTTTCAGCACCTTGACTTGAAAAAAAAATACAAGGCTTCAGATTAATATTTCATGTAACATAATGTGGATTAAAAACATAATAAAAAATGAACTCCTCCAAAATGTTCAACAGATATTGTGTTTGACAGATACCATGCTATCTGCAGATACGTTATACTCAAGTTTTCTATTCATATTTAGAAACTAAAAATAAGTCAATGTATTTTGCTTATTTGTAACAAAATACTGTGCTTTATTAAATTCTTTAATCTGAGCAGCCGCCCACGTGTAAGAATTTTACGAAACAGCTCGTAAGGGTGAACACCATCTTTGTAAACACTGATCGTTATTTAGAGGATGGTGGGGTAAGACGGACCTTGACTTTGAATACAGTTTTCACCAATTAAGATGAATGTGATGAAATGCAAAAGGTTTTAAAATGAACTCTGTTTTTATTATAAATGTCATTTCTAGTTAAAACAAGGATTTGGCATAGAACTTTTTTACATATTGAAAAAATACACTTATTGTGGTTGGGGGCCGTTTTACCAAAACGGTTGGATAAAATGGTGTACCATGATCCTCATCTAACTCATAACGACTCCAATATAAATTAATTGTTACATTTAGTAACAACATTTAAACCAGTTAGGCCATAATTTAAATTAAGAAGGTTGTGCGTCAGGTACAGGTTACGCATTACCTAGAAAAATAGCACAAAGAAACGTGAGTACTAGTGTGGAACAATGACTTAGATAGTGGCCAAAGCTTATGGCTGCAATATACGTCATTAGTGTGGAGTATAAGACGGCCCCGCGTCTTACCCTGAGCCACTCGTTAATTTTAAAACAATCACAAGTTATATAAAATAATCAGTGAACATAAAATGTTTCTTTAACAGCACAATTAGCTGTTAAAAATTTAAAATTCTGATTGCTTATTTTGCTTCAAAGTTATTCTAAACGAGAAACTGAAGTAAAAGTTGTGCTTTCGTCATTCACTTTCGCACCCGTTGGAGACAAGTAAACAATAGTTACTTTTAAAGAATCACGTTTTTGGTGTTTTTTTTGCAGATAAGCTAATTATTTGCAAGATAAAGGATTAAATTTTGTTTTTATGGAAACGTTGTTTTACATGTTCTGTACGTTCGTACGTTGACACCGTTCCATTGAAACACTTTCATTTCAGGCACTTAATTGTCATGACGTCATGATCAAATGTCACTGGACCCCCACCCCCCAAGTTACGACAAAAATAATAGGACATTTTTTTATTATCACAAGCACGTGTTAACGGTTAGCAAGAAATAGAAAACCGCAGATCGAGATGCCCCTGGTGAGTAAACACAGAAAGCATTTTTATAACATAAAAAACAACAAATGATAAAAATAACATATAACAATACAATTATTAAAGGTGTCCATTCTTGTGTAAATAACAAAAAATACATGCTTACATGTGACGTCATACCATAGCAAAAAATTACAGCTTAAAAAATAAAGCAGCGTATTCTGCAAGTGACCTAGAACACAGAAAAATATATAATATGTTTCAAATAAATATTATCTTGGATTTTGGAATGCTTTCACAGCAATCAAAGAAGAGAGGATACGGTTTAGTGCTGTTTATAATAAACAGCAGGATGCTTTTGTTTAGAAACAGGGGAAAAAGCAAGTTGAAAGCATGAGAATGCAAAGCATCAAACACCAAACACAAAACACATTTTTGAATATATATATATATATATATACTTATGAATGTTACTGTCAAACCCAGATTTCTGGAGAGTTTTATAGTTATTCTATCTCTGTATCACACATAAAATTTTGACGTAAGAAACTTATGACTCTACATCATTTTATTTCTGCAATTCTTTTAAATATATATAAGAGCGACATCTCTCGGGTATAATGTTAACTAATAAAACTTCCCTTCAATATATTTGATCATTACGCTTTTTATCAAGAAACTAAATACGTAAAGCTTTCTTGAATAAAGATCTCCAATTATTTATCAATGTCTGAGACACGTGGTTAATACACATATGTTTACATTTTTTCCTTTTATCGTGCTATTTAACAAGATTCGGTTGGTTAAATCCACATTTGGCTATCTCCTGTGTCCATCGCAGCGAATCGAACCTCAGATTTAGCGTTGGAAGCCCGTAAACTTACCGCTATCCTGCCGATAAGGATAAAGTCAGGGCATTTTAAATAAACTGTCCCTGTAAGATTTATGAAATACTTGTTTCATTAAATTTTGCCCAGTTACTTTACTGTTAATATAGCTGAGACGTTGACATTTCTAAATTATAATTATTTTTCTATTTGAGGTAGTTAAATAGCTAAATCTGGGTTATAATAGTAACATTAATCTTCTTAAAAGAGCAGAAAGAACATACTTTATATGAAAGATATACAAACAGTAATGGTTTAAGCTGTACGTACCATTAAATATACCATCTCCATTTTTCTCTCCTGGCTCCAAATCCTGCTGTCAGCCATTTTGCCCACGACCTTTTGTCACTGAGTGTACTAGTGTGCTTACTAACTGTTCAAAAAGCTTTCCACACACCTAGTGTACTTAGATGTGTCGAAAGCTCAGGACAATCAGTTCACAATATACATACAGACACGTGTTTGTATATTTGTATTAAACAGATGTCTTTACAAATCAAAAACTAATATTTTGTACCCCATGGTTCAATCAAATAAAGTTTTAAATTTCTTACCTCACTAAAATGTCGTGGGGAAAAGGCCAGGAAAATAAATAACATTGAAAATAGTTGTTAAAAAAAATACTGGTAATTAAAACTTATCGTTAAAAATGTGTATAATTCAAAGAATTTAAGCTTCTCTTGAAATTCGTTTTGCTAAAGCAATAAGGTTCGGTAAATTGGGTACATTCTTGCAATGAAACGCTTTCCATTATTTCTTTAAAGTAGAGAATGTTCTCGAATATTGTACAAAAGAAAGAACAATTTTTTATCTTAACAAATAAAATAACTGGATACATTGTTATAATGAACCATTTTCTGTTGTGTTGAGAAAATGCTGAAAATAAAGATTGCTCTTGAAAAAGAAACAACAAAATATATTTGTTGATATTTCCATCGCATTGATATAATAATCACATTAACTAAAGAAACGCATCTTAGAAACCAACTGTTTGATTTAATATATATTTATTCTTTAAAAACGTAAAACAAGTTGAGACAATAAGTCTATTTTACAATTTCGGATTGTCAACAATATTCAATTTGCGTCATTTTTGAGACCATAGAATAATATATTATCAGAATCGTAAAATCGGAACGGATAACAATAGTTTTATCATTGAAAAAGGTTTATTAGTTCATCTCCAAGTCCTATATTCGCTGGGAAAGGAAATATAGATATAATTATACATATATTAATTTCGTTAAGATACAAATGAGGCGTTTCTATTTTGAGTTACATAAAGTCATAACCAACGTAAATTATTATATATACCTTTTGAAGATTACTATCTTTTCTGTCGTATCAAAGCAAACTTTCTAAAGGTTTACAATACACAAATGATCGGCACTTACTTTGTGTCTTCTGTTCATGGAAACTTTAAATCTTTGTCCATGTAAAAATATTACTTAATAGACAAAATATTTCAATTACTTTTGTTAAGTCTGAAATTTCTATTTTTTTTTCTCGATAAATTAATGATCAATAAGCGCATGTGTTCTATTGAACCTGCTAACAAGAACAAACATATATATCACAGTGCAGACTGGTGGTCACTCAAGTCCGAATCTATATCGAAATTTGCATATTCTTTTATCTGAAAGTTTTGTCTGTACATAACCTGTTTCGAAAAACATTGATTCACGTGGCGGTCTTGAATAAATGTTATTAAAAACATCGAATAGTAATTTAAGTCTTAAAATTGAAAGAAGGAGTCAAACATTTAATAGGTAACAAGCTATATCCAACATAAATAAATTCAAGTTTCTGTTATATTCCTATCGTTAATAAACCGACAAATCAATGATCACATATTTGAAGACCACTGAAGAATTTTTCATATCGTCCTTATTTTATATTGTTGTTTCTGTGAGTTTTCATAATATATCTTTGACATTTCCAACTGGAAAAAATTACAAATTTAATACTTACCTTAAGTCGGCCATCTTGGTGCTTCTGTTGATACGAGAAACCGCTGTAACCTGCAGTAATATATAATGAACATTTACAAATATTTTCCTGTTTTCTAATATCATTGGGTTACTAAGTAGTTTGTTTCAGCATCAGATTACAATCTCACTGGAGGACTCATCTTTTTTTTTTTAACCTTTAAATCTGACTTCAAAAACTGTTTCTATAAAGAATGTAAGCAAGTTTTATAATCAGTCATACGTAACTTTTCCACGTTTACTTGGTTTAGTATAACACAAATTACTGTAACACCGAAACCGGTCAAAGATAAAGACACCCGGATGACGCTATTTCTGGACACTTTCGATAAAACAGGCCGTATATATATATATCTTTCAAGATTTCTTTTTAACTATATATATATATATATATATATA